TACTAGCAACAAGAACGCTACTAGGGGCTCCTGGCATCGCTACTAGGAGCAAGGACGCTACTAAGGGCAGAACGAATTTGCAAGGCCGAAGTTGGGTCCGGAGCGGCCATCAAAGGCAAACCAAGCTGAGTAGAAGACGCTTTAGCGCAGGAACAGATGAGTAGATTCTCAGAATGATGGACTTTGTATGAAGCCTTTCCTATGTTCCATGACAAGTAGATGTACTACCTAGCACAGAGACTTCATACAACTTCTTTTCAACTGTTCAAAGAAAATGTGTCATCACTGGAGAATCCTGGATCCGCATGTTTTGAGTATACTTGAAACCGGCCATGTTTGAGATTCGTGCCTTCATGCCCTTCCTGGTCATGTGCTGCCCAGCACTCAGAGGGCTCTCAAGGTCATTCTTTGGGTCATTGGCATCCAGCACTTCCCGAGGCATCATCCCCATCCAAGAGCTGTGCTGTGAGGCGGTGTGAGACACCTGACACCTTGCTGGTACGCATCAAACCTTTGTGTTGGCGACAATAGGATTGCCAAGCTCATTCAAGCTCTCACGAACAGATTCTTCAGATCATGTGCCTAGTGATGTCAGGTTGCACATTCACCGCAGTATTGATCCACAAGATTGTTCGACTTGGGATGGAATATGATGAAATTATATGTTGAGTATTTTTGCTGGCCTTTCAAGCTCTTAAGAAGCCTTGTCATGAGAACGGCTCATGCAAGAAAAAAGAGCATGCTGTACAGGTGTACTCACTATGTTAATATGTGAAGTCAGTTGAAGAGTTGAGCTTGTCTTTTGTTGAGCATGTAGGTACATGAACAAAATGGATGACATGGGCAATTGCTTTTGGGTGCTTGCCTTTGGCAAAACTATGTATATACTCAAGACAATAAAAAGAGAAAACAACTGTGAAGCAGGATGGAAGATTTTGTATGTGTTACGTCTGAGCACGGACCATGTGCTGCTCATGACGCTCCACATGCCCAACTTCAAGGCGGCTTCGAGGATAGACAATTGCAAGGGACATGTGTCTTTTTGAACGACAAAAACAATGAAGAATATGATTGCATGGTTGGTTACATGGATAGAATTGGCGAGGTGGCTCTCTTTCAAGCCTGCTGTTGGAGGTAATAGTTTGCAGTAGTATGGGATGGTCAATGCGGCATAAAGCCCTTGAAACACAATGTGAGTACGACGTGCAACAATCCGCAAGCAGAGATGGCCTCCAACCTACTAGCGATGGCCTCCACTTCGAAAGCTTCAAAGACACCCCTTGAACCTTGAACTTCTGACCCGTTGCCACTGATCTCGAGGGCCTGCTGCGGCTGCAAGTGCTTTGCGACCGGACGAAGCCAGGGGAGGACCTTGGCGTCGCAGGAGCCTCACCACTAAATGGTTGGAGAGGCTGGACTGGCCGAGGGAAGCGGATGAATTTGTTTCCATAGATGTTCGTCAAGGGCAGAAAGTGTTTGAGTTTGTATATCCAGGTTCAGATTGGGAACAGTGAACATGCGGAAGCAATGCTCAAGCTAGTTGTTCCCAAGAAGTGCCCCGTGAATGTGCTGTGAACGTGCTTTCTTTGACAAGTGTCTTGCCACTTTATGCACAGATTGAAAGAGAAAGAATACTTGTACGTGGTTTTTGCTCAGAGATGTTTAAGGACGCTACTAGGCGCTCCTGGCCCTACTACTAGCAACAAGAAGCTACTAGGGGCTCCTGGCATCGCTACTACACTACTAGGAGCAAGGACGCTACTAGGGGCTCCGGCCCTACTACTAGGAGCAAGGACGCTACTAGGGGCTCCTGGCCCTACTACTAGCAACAAGAAGCTACTAGGGGCTCCTGGCATCGCTACTAGGAGCAAGGACGCTACTAGGGGCTCCTGGCCCTACTACT